GGATGTTTAAAATACAGATTTTTTTGGCAGAGGGAATCGATACCCCCATAAGGGAACCGATTTCTCCTTTGAATGGGAACTGATTCCCTCCTTGAGGGAATCGATACCCCCAATGGGTTCTGGATACATCACGACCAGAAAACTCATTCTCTCAAAACCTCTCTTCTTTCTTAAACGTCGTCCATCCTCTCTTTCTCTCTAAATCTCCATTTTTGCCAAAATCATCAAATACAAGTCGGAATTAGATCTTTCTTCAACTTCTAATCCTTGCAAACAACATCACATTCTCATAAAATCCAAATTTTCAAGGTAATATTTCAAAATCCTCTATTTCATTGATTTTTGAACTTAGAACTAGTTTTCATTAGTTCTAAGATGAACATTACATCGGGCATTGATTATATGATGATTTTACAACCAATTTTGTCAAAACACTCAATTTTTCTTTTAATTTCGAAATAAAAAAAATCAAAAATTGTTGTTTTAATTGATGTTTTTGATTCAATTATGTTGTTTTCATAAAAACTATGCGTATTATGATTTTCAAACATTATTTTCCAAATAGTTTTTCAAAACATTGCCCTTTAGGATTCGGTTTAGAGAACCTTGAAATATTAATGACTCATTTGAGTTTTGGGTTTGATTATATTGCATACATGTGTTTAAATTTGCAGGTTACATATTCTATTCCGATTCTTAAACCATGTCAAATCCTAAAACGACCTAAGACATTGTCTAGTCGCTCAAGTCAAAACCGACCTCTTATTCCTCCACCCAATCCAAATAACCCAAATATGACCATTCTGAACTCTTGTTTCACGTACCTGGTCGTAGACAAAATCCATATCATAGGTACCATACTTGTTTTGAGTCATACAAAATCCGGGAAGAACGTATCCCTTCGATTCAAGCTATAGAAGATATGGACTTCCAATATCTTCCTACTCTTAAATCCTAGAAGTTTGATAAACTCTTTAAACTCAAACCTTTGGTCTATCATCAATTAATCCACATTTTTCTATTCCAAATCGCTACCCATTTTGGACTAGATAACTCAGGTTTAATGAAAAAGAGACTGTGGATTTACCCTATAAGTCTAAGGATAGTGAGAGTACCCTAAGAACTTATCGTGATAGATTCCTTCATTATATGATCTCTTGGTGGTTTAGACCATCCGGAGGTAGGTACTCCTCCCTTAGGAACATAGATATATGGTGGATATACTGTATCCAACATAAAAAGAAGATTAATCTGCCACAGATCATCTTTAGTGAGTTTCCATAAACATTGTTCCTTCCAAGAATATAGAAACCTTGGTTTATGGTTGTCTCCTTAGTAAATTGTTTATCAAACTCGGTCTTAGGGTCTCTTCTGATATTCCTATCCCTCTTCAAAACCAAATCAATCTTACTTCCTTGAAGAAAGCAAGATGGAAAAATGATAAGGAAACAGGCCAATGGATTTATCATCCCGAACTCAAAACTTTGAATTGTAAAATATTTTGATGTTCATGGATTGTTTTATTTTGGATGTTTGAATTTGATGGATAATTGGATATTTGAACTTACGTTCTTATATATTTGGTTTGGTTTTAACTTTCATTTTGAGCTTAATGTTTATTTTTGCATCATTTACATATTAGTTGCATTATGACCAATTTTTGCCATTTCACATTGTTTATGAATATTGAATTATGAAGCTAATAGCTAACGTTTCTCTTGATTGTGTTCTTAGCAGCTTAAGCTATATCTATTATAATCAATTGGCTAAGTACTTTTCAAAACCTTGTTTATAATTCTTTTTAAAAAAATCTTTTTGATTTAACAAAAAGGGGGAGAAATATGTTAAAAGTGAGAAGTGTTAGAGTAAGGGGGAGTAATTTCAAACTTGATTTCAAAATCTTAAAATTACTAAAATGTTTTGTTATATCAAAAAGGGGGAGATTGTTGAAAACATTTTGATATTTCGATATAACAAATTAAGTTAAATGAATTTTAAGATTTTCCAAAAAGATTTTCTAAGTATATTCAATAAAATTATTCGAATATCAAAATATTACTCCAAATCTTTCAAATGTCATTTTTAATCCTTACTCAAGTGTAAAATTAAGTTTTAATCTTAAAATAATTTCAAAACAATTTTACAAAATATTTCGAACCATTTCAAAGCCAAAAATTCCAGAATATCCAGAGGGAACCGATTCCCCCCCAAGGGGGTACCGATTCCCCCCTGAATGGTTTTGCTCTGAGAAATTCCAGTATGCTCGGAGGGAACCGATTCCCCCCAGGGGGTACCGATTCCCCCCACTGTTCAACGGTCGAAATATTTGAATTTTACACTTAGGGAACCGATTCCCTATGAGGGGTACCGATTCCCCCCACGCTCCAAGCTGTTTTATTAATTGATTTCACACTAAAACGACAATATTATATTTACTAATCATCCCCAACGTTCAGAAGTGATTCAAAGTGTATTTAAGCAAGCTTAGAAGCCATTGATCAATAATAAGAAACATCAAGCAACTATAATCAAGAGAGAATCAAAGAGAAAGCATCAAACCTCAAGTTTGAGCATTTCAAGCCTATTTTTCATTCAATATTCATTTTTCTTTCAAGAACACTTATTGTGCTCAATTGTATTCATTTTTTGAGTGTTTTTTTTCTTTGTTCTAGAATTATGCAAACAATCTACCTTGTGAGGATTTCCTTGTAAGTTTGCAAATTTGTATTGTTCTCTTTGAGAGAGTGTGTTCTCAAGAATTTGGGGTATAATTATTGAGGGTTTGTAAGGTTACTCTTTGTCCTCAAAAGAAAGACAAATTAGTGAATTTGTGGAAAATCCTTAGTGTGGATAGCTAAGGTAGCGGACGTAGACTTTGATTGAGAAACTTGAACCACTCTAAATCGCTGTGCAATTTCTTTCAATTTTCTGCAAAAGCTTCCACCAAAATTTTTATTGCCAATTCACCCCCCTCTTGGCCGATTCCGTCAATCGATTAACTCAACAGAAGCATTGCTAATTTCGTCTGGAACTCTAAGTCGGACAAGTGCATACACTGGATTAAGTGGGATAGTTTATGTAAACCAAAATCTCACGAGGGCCTGGGGTTTTTTGATATTAAAATTAGAAACCGTTCTTTGTTAAATAAGTGGATTTGGAGGTATAGTATGGAAAATGATAGTTTATGGAGGAAGATTGTTGTAGCCAAATACAATTATGATCAAGATGCAATCATTCCAAAAGTTGTTAACAAGAGAACTTCTTCGTGGGTGTGGCGTAGTATTACAAATCCTTCTGGGTCTATGGAATCTGATTTCTTGGCGGAATTGAGATGTGTTATGGGTAATGGGGTTAATATAGATTTCTAGTCTGATTTTTGGACTGAAAAACCTTCTTTAAAAAGCTCGTTCCCCTGTATTTTCAGTATAGCTGTTAAAAAATTTGGTAAGATTAAAGATTTTGGTTGTTGGGTTCAAGGTCGTTGGGAATGAAGATTCTTTTGAGAAGAGCTTTCTTCGATTGGGAACAGCCTATATGGGATGATTTCTTGCTCGTTTTAAGCATAGCGGTTAGTGCATATCTTGGCCCTGACAGATTAGTATGGCATGGTTCGTCAGACGGTATTTATAATCCAAAAGTTTTTTGCTTTAAAGTGGCTACCGAAGGGTTGCTGGAAGATCCTGTGTGGAGTCTCGTTTGGTCTAAATTTTTTCCACCTAAGGCCACTGCTTTTGTGTGGAAAGCAATGCTTTTTAGATTGCCGGTTATGGTTGAGCTGTCAAAAAGGGGTGTTAATTGTTCTGATAAGGTTTGTTGTCTTTTCTGTAACCTTGAGCCGGAATCGATTAATCATGTTTTATGTCATTGTTTTGTTGTTTGGAAAGCTTGGCAAAGATGGTGCTCGGTATGGAATGTAACTATAGTGTTTCCTAGGAATGTTAAATAATTGATTCAGGTCTGGTTCTCGCAACATGTTAGGAAGAGCGTAAGGGCGCTTTGGTGTATTGGCTTCTTCGGTCTTATTTGTGTTACTTGGATTTGTAGAAATAATTACAGATTTAAGGGTGCTTCTGTTTCGTCTGATCAGATTTTTAACAAAGCTTTGCTTCAGATAGGGTTATGGGTGAATTACTCTTGGCCGATGAAGTTTCCCGTGGTCTCTGATTTTATTCGGAACCGGGAAGCTATTGGTCGAGGTGCTTGCTAATGGAGTTGTTGTCATTGATTGAACGCTGCAAGCTTTTGATTGGGGCAGTCCAATTCGGCTATAGTTTCTGTTTTTGGTTGGTTTCTGCTGCTTGCCCAAGTCTTTTGCTTTGTTCTTTTCTGTTTCTGTTGTTCTCTGCTAGCTGTAATTGGTTTGCGTTGGTCTTTGCTCGTATGTTTGGGGTTGGTTCTTATTATGTCGTTTATTTTTTGATGTTAGCTACTTGTTACAATGCTCTCTTCATTCCAGGTGTACTCTTTTTCCTCCAAATAGATCTAGAGAGGTTTTTTAATGAGACCGTTGGGGTGACCACTTTGTTATTTCAATAATACAAAATACCTTTTTTCAAAAAAAAAAACCCACATAGTTTACCCAACTAATAATTAGAATTTATAATTTAAATTTTATTTAATCTGGACCTAAAAAATTCATGATACAAATTAAAATATTTTCCCCTTTTATCCGTAACTTTTCTCCTTTTAATGATAAATCTGAATATTATTATCTCTACTATCACTTTTACTTCTCCACTGTTATCATTACAATAATAAATTGTAATTATTTGATATTTTTTGGATTCAGAGTCAGACCATGGGAAGAAAATTTCACCTTAAAATGATTACTCTTTGCTTTCATTGAACAATATGTATAGATATACTGAGCGAATATCATATGATGTAGAAACCCTTCACAATCACTGATTTCTTGTAGATCAAGGTAAAACAAGGATGGAGGTAACTACGGCACACTGAAATATTCGGGACTCCGGCTATGCGCTGTCATCGGAGTGTAAACAAACCAACAAACAAAAAAGGGGGTTTCGAGTTCAAATCGAAGTTCTTGAATCAGTGATGTTTTGATGTTGAAGTCGGACACTGGTAGCACTTGGCAAAGAGTCCGAATGTGTCGACTTGTTTGATAAAATTCGTCATGCTAGCCCAACCTCCCAATCCGAATCCTACTACGAACACCCATATCACGATAGCTGCATTCACTGCATAGATTGCTGTCCAGCTCGGGAGGAAGAAAGGAGGCTTCTCGGCTGCATTCTGTTCATACATGACCCACAAAATACTAAAGTTAGACAGCAGTGACTTGGGACATGAAATCGACCTCGAATCGTGTTTGCAAATTAGCAAGACTGTTAAATGATATTGTAGCAGTCAATTTCATCTAATACAGTAATCCAAGCAGAGGTCCGAAAATGACGAGAACAGACTGTCTACAAATTTTACCTTTCGTGCAGAGGCCGATTTATAAGTGAGCATATGAGCCATGGCAGGGATGATGTAAACAGTAAAGCTAACCAGGAGAGATCCTACAGCCGAGTTAATGGGACCAAAGAAAGGAAATATGATAGCCAAGAACCATATAGGTATCACCACAGGTAACCGGGATAAAGCCCTAAAACAAATGCTCTCTGTGTCATGCATCCCCACTACTTTCTCCCACACAAAGTACAGCGGCGTGCAGGCAAACCCAAAGGTGATGAACTGCGAAAAAATCGGATGCCAAACCAATTTGTCAAGTCAATTTCACTAATAAAAGACGGTAATGACAGCATAAAACCCATCTACATGGTATCCACAAACCTGGTGGATTAGCATTAAGATAACTGCTGCATCGCGCCAGCCAGACCGTGGGAAGAGTGAAAACGCATTGGAATGGTCAAGAAGTTGATCACCGAAAGCCCAGTAAACGGCGGCAGCGGATGGGAGGGTCAAGGTGAACACATAGAGGGTGGCCAATAGATATATATACTTGAACTTTTGAGGCTTCCACATAGCATGCATAATTTCACTGCAATCATCAAAATTCATTATATTTATATATACACTTGTATCTAACACCCATTTTAATTGAATATCCGGACCCGTACACATCAATATGTTCGCCAACGTCTCGATTAACATAATCTCCTATAGCTAAAGAGGGGGAAAGCCTTGACCCCATGCAATTATTAGAACTTGCAAATTACCAAACAACCAGAATTGATGATTCTACAGCAAAAAAATTAATATTCACTAAACTTTTGACCAAACAGGAGACAATAAAGCTGTCAAAACGCAAACATTGACTCAATGGTAACAAAGGGGTATTAATGAATCTGTTTCTAAATCTTTATCTTTCTCAAATCCCGAAAACTGCAAGCAAAAGCTGCTAATAATATCCTACTGTAAGAACTAAGAGCCCTGTTTTCTTCTTTTTCTACAGTATTTCACTGCATTTTTGTTCAATAAAAGAAAGCAAAAAGTAATTTATTATTCTTTCATAGCAACACCTACACTGTGACAGCATGTCCGCCGAAAGTGTAGAGGATATTTGTGGCGCCAGTGAAGTACAAAACCAACTTAGTTGGACCTTGGTGAGTTACACCTTCCACCTATATAAACAGAAAATGTTAAAAATTTTGAAATATTTTTAGACCAAATTCAACCCTTTTCTTTGTTTCTGTTTACCTGGCCAAGAACAAGAGCGGCAATGGTCAAATACCATGCAGTATAAGTGGTCATCCCAAGCCCCAAAAAGGACCAGATTCTGTAGTTGTGGAATGAAGGGATGAACACTGTTGTGGCACAACAAGCTCCAAAGATGTAAGTCCATGTCCTCTTGTCCAGCTTGTCGTTTATGTAATATATGTTGCTGTAAATCAACTCAAAAAACAGAAATCAGAAACCATTTGATTGAAAAAAAAAACCATGGAAAGAAATTCAAGGGGAAAAGAAAACCTTGCACAAGCTATTAGTTGAATCACAGATCCAAAGAGGAGGAAAGTGCAGTTAAAGGCCAATCCAATAGCTTTCCAGTAAGGTCCCAATAGACCATCCAGCACTTCAAACCACTGCATTTTGAAGAATATAATGTGAGAAATCAATCTGCATTTTGAAGAATATAATGTGAGAAATCAATCTGCATTTTGAAGAATATAATGTGAGAAAATCAATCTTTTTAAAACGGTTTTATGATTTTTAGAAACTAACCTGGATAACATGATTCTTGAAGCTGACATTTTCTTTTTCCTTTCTGCTTCTGTACTCAATGTATAAAACACTAATCAGATAAGCTGTCCAGCTTCCAAGAACACCATAAAATATCTGCAGAATGATCCCAGAGAGCATTCCCATTTGAGAGAAAGAATATGGTAATGTTAATAGAACTTGAGCCACCTGCAAAAGAAGAAAACTTTCATCAGCTAAAAAGAACAAAAGGAACCAATTTTTACACTGGTTTGGTTACCTGATTAGAAGCACAGCTGAACCAGGCATCATAAACAGAACCGCCATGCCAAAGAAAACTCTTGACACTGAAAATGGAATGATCTCCTTCTTCTTCATCTTTTTCTTCATGATCCATGGTGTCGTTGAAGCTTGGAACAATGGCTTCCTCCGCTTGTTTCTCTCCAGACATTGCTTCTCTTCTCTATAAATCAATCACGAACACAAAAAATCAAACCAAAACAAAACAAAACTGAATGTTTTTTTAGAACATGAACCCTCATGTATCTCGATTATGTTACCTTATAAATAGAGGAAATAGGCTACGAAAATAAAACAGATCCTTGATAACAAATGTGAGAGACCACCCAGAAATCAGCTTAAGCTCTTCTTTAACTGATGTCAAAGAAAAGACTGAGAAAGAGGGAGAGAGGTGTGTATTTATCTCGTTTTGCCTTTAAGAGCAAGAAACCACAGTTTTAGGGTGGCTGTTACAGCTTTATTGTCGGATTTTCTGCTACAAATTCAAAGGATTATATAAATGCAACACAGAGGAAAAATAACTCATAATTCCAAAGTTGGCAGTGCCTTAATTATCTTTCGAAAAAAAGCTAATCCAGAAAAATAATTTCTTTTTTCACTCGATGATCCACTAGGTGTTTTTCTCGAAAAATTAATCGGTATATTTATCGATTTAACATAGGTTAAATTATATTTTCTGATCTAAACTCGTAGCAGTAAAACGCGACCTCTGAACTGCGTTATATGTTAATTTGACGCCACATGGAGTATAGCGCGTTCTTTGTACCGTGCTATACGTAGACTGGGTTACACGTGGAGCGCCCCCTACACCGCGCTATACGCCACGTAGGGGTATAGCGCGGATCAGGGGCCGCGCTATACGCCGTGCCAAAATTATATTTAAAGCGATCCCTGGTCCGCACTATATAATAATTACATATAACGCGGTACAAGTACCGCGCCTTATATGTTTATAAATACCCTCTTCCGGTTACGTTTCTCACATCTCCTCTCATCTCTCCTCTCAACTTATAAATTAATACAACAATTCCGTCAACAAGTAATAATTCTGTCAATCTTCTCATATTTGATTTAGAAGTTCGTGCGATTTTTCGTTATAAGTTAATTTTGTTATAATTTTTTAATTATACTTATTGTTTATTTATTATCATTATTTGAAAAAATATTATACTAATTATTTTCAATTAATTTTTATGTTTATAAAATTGAAAAACGGGAGCATAAGTCGAAATAGTTTTGTGGTGCATGTAATAATATAAAATTATATTATTTAAATTATTTACGTCGATGTGTAAAAAATGTATTGTGTTATATTTTCGTTCATATATAATTTATTTAATCAAATTTGTTTCAGTTATTTTTTTTTTTGCAGATACAATATTGTCGCACTTTTAAATTCAAAGAATGGTGCGACTTTCAGCTATTGTTTATTATGATGGTGAAATTCGAGAAGATGAAACCGGCGTTGTTTTCGTATCAAATGAGCGTGTTAAAATATCATTCAAGAGAAACATAACTCTTGAGGAACTAATAACGAATATTTCGAGAAAGATTCATATTGGAAGTAGTAGAAGAATGTCGTCGTTGCAGTACAGATTTCTAACATCATTGTTGTCATTAACTTATACAGCGTTCGAACTTTCGAACAATGATGTTGTTAAAATGATGGTTGAAGCTCAAAGTAATTATTCAGACGCCGCTATTGAGATGTATGCACATTTTGTTCAAGTGCGTGCTGTTCGGGGTCAATCATTAAGCTCCCACTATAGGCTGACTGAACAAGTTGATCAAGTTGACAGCCCGACTACAGTAATGTGTAATGATTTTAATGCCATAATGGGGAGACATTCATCCGCAACTCCTTACGATATGTATCGAGGTGGGTCTACGAACAATCCGTATGGAAACACCGCGTCCAGTTCAAGGGGAAGGCATTCATCTACAAATTTCTTTGACCATATGAAGATGCCATCGACGCAACCATCTGAGCAGTTTCCATTTGACACGATGACTTCAAGCTCCAAGGGGAGGCATTCGACTGCGAGCTTTTTCGATCTCAATGTCGATATGCCTTCTAGTTCAAGGGGAAGACATGCAAGTGGTAGGTTCTTCGACCTAAATGTGGAGCGCATGGAGGAACCATCATCTCCACCAGAAGAACCGCTTCGTGAGCCTGGTGCGGATGGTGCTGAGACTGGACTATTCATTCACCCAGAATCACCGCAATTCAACTCCGATGATGATGATGTAGATGAAGTACCAGGAAATGTGACACAAACTGGCCCTTATGCACACATGTATGAAGCTGATTATGGTGCAATATACGGGCCAGAATTTACGGATATGCCTCATCTCGGTGACTATGGATATTACTCATCAATAAATAATGGTGAGTTATCTTTAGGCATGGAGTTTTCAAGCAAAGAAGAAGCGATGATGGCTATAAAAAATTACAATATCCGTAATTCTGTTCAGTCCATAGTCAACCGATCGACGACCGAAAAATATGTATGCTACTGTGCCCGACGCAAAAACGGATGCAATTGGATGGTTCGCGTATCGAAAATGAAGAGGAAAAAAAACATATGGGAACTAACAATATACAACGGTCCTCACACATGTTGTGCTGGAGGGGTTAACCAAGATCATCCCAACTTGGACTCTGAAGTGATATGCCAAGCCATCATGCCCATGGTAAAAGCAAGCTCTCATATAGCTGTTGCAGTGTTGATTTCAGCTATACAATCTAAGTATGGGTACACTATCTCCTATAAAAAAGCTTGGTTGACAAAACAAAATGCCATTGTCAAACTTCATGGAGAATGGGATGCATCTTACAACGAACTTCCAGGTTGGTTTAGGCTGGTGCAGACGTTGAATCCTGGGACAATTGTGGACTTCGAAACCTCTTATGCATACCATAATGATCGAGTTCTTTGCGATCGATGCCAATTCTACCGGGTTTTTTGGAGTTACCCACAGTGTGTTAATGCTGCCAAATACTGTAAGCTTGTGGTCCAGATCGACAGGACTTTCTTGTATGGAAAATACAAACAAGTTTTATTATTGGAAGTTGTCCAAGATGGCAATCGCAACATTCTTCCATTTGCTTTTGCTCTTGTCGAAAGAGAAGATACAGATTATTGGGCTTTTCTCCTCCAAAATTTACGTGCACATGTTATCACGAGGGAAAACATCAGTGTCATTTCAGATCGCGGAGCTGGGATCAAAGCAGCAATGAAGTCTTTGGGTCCAATGTGGCAACCACCCTTTGTCCAACATAGGTATTGTCTCTGACACATTGTTGCGAACTATCATAGAAGGTACAAGAAGAATGATGAGCTACAATTAATTGTGCGCATGGATAAGTGAAAGCAAGTTAGTAAGTTATACATTTTTTGATCATTTTAATTTTGCAAAGAAAGCAAGTTAGTAAGTTATATATATTTTTTGATCAGGTTACGAACTACTACCTCAAACGTTTGAATCAATGCTTCAAGATTTACGGGCGAAGAACGAGGACGAACGCATATGATGGTGGATATTGATATGGACACATGACGACCAACTTGGCTGAGGCAATCAATTCAACCTTAAAGGGTGCACGTCACTTACCTGTAGCGGCTTTGGTAAAAACTACATATTTTCGTTTGGGGGCGCTTTTTGCGAAGCTCGGGGGACAAGCTCAAACCTGGATGCAAGGCGGTCATGTCTATCACCCTAGATTAGTTGCAGATCTACAAAAAAATGTTGCATCAAATGGAATGTCTGTAACAAGTTTCTCTAGAAGATATGAAATGTTTCGTGTCACAGAGTTGTCGCGACCTCTTCAAGGGATTGAAGTTGTGTCGTTAAAAGTAAATCTACGGGACAGAACGTGCGACTGCGGGTTTTTTCAAGCTTTGGAGTATCCATGCTCTCATGTGATAGCAGCTTGCTCGCACACACGTCGAAACTATAACCATTTTGTGGATCTCGTATACCTACTATCTGAAGTTTTTAAGGTATATGAATTTGAGTTTCCCCCCATAGGTAATGACAAAGACCCTGATGAGGTTCAAGATTGGCTTTCGATTGTACCAAATCCGAGTTTATTGAGGGAGCGTGGTCGTCCAAAATCCAATCGAATTCATTGCGATATGGATATTCGAGAAAGATCTAGACAAGACAGAAGATGTGGGCATTGTAGAAACCCATGACACACGAGAAAAACATGTCCACTTCTGTTGTCATCAAGTAACAATTGATGAGGAAATGATGTATTTGTTTATCAAATAATAATTATTGTACTTTAATTTTCATTTACTTCAAGTTAATGATAACCAAATTGGTATTTGAATATAATTTTAAATACAACAAACTTACAATAAGTATTAAATGGTAAATGATAACCAAATTACAACAAACTGATATTAAATCGTAATAAACAAAATTAACTAAAATACATTAAAAAAAAGTCCAACAAATTTAACAAAATAAAGTAAGTATTAAATGAGAAATAAAAAAAATTACAATTTAACAAAATAAAGTAAATACAAATATAATAAAAAAAATCTATCGATGCCTGCGACGCGAATGTGTTCCGCAGGGCGGTGGCTATCGGTCTCGAGAAGGATTTCTTCGTATCACTGGTTCTGACTCCTCGCTGTCATCATCATCACCATCGTCGTCGTCATCGTCGTCGTCCTGAGCATATACATTAGGTTGATGAGGAGCTGATGACGATGAAGCACCTCCATAGAATAAGGACCCTGGAGGTGTATGACTGACTATCCCACCGGCCTGCGAAAACTGGGAAAACCCAGACATCTCTGAGTGTGAAAACTGTACATGAGGTGTCTGTACTGCGGCCATGGGTGATGAGGCTGAACTCGCCAAATATTTAGCATCTGAACCCCGAGTCGAATTTACAAAAATAGACCCATAATAGCCTCCAGGAGGGGTCATCTGTGACGGCGGCGGCGGCGGGGTCACAAAACCAGGTGAAGGCGGCGGTAGCGGTATCTGGTAATAGAAAGGCGATGGTGGCATCATATATGGCTGCGGCATCATAAATGGTTACGGTGGCTGCTGTGAAGGTCCTGCTGGTACAGCTGAGGATGAACTGGAAGAACCTGCTCTCCGTCCACGACTCGGGAGACGATGGTGCTGTGTCGGTGAACGTCTTTGTCGACGTCGTGGAAAGGTCTGCCCTCGTGCATCCTCGGGAAGTAGAAACGGTTTTCCATTACTGTTGAACCACTC